ATGATCAATGAGCAAAATGAACCATACATATTACAACTATATACTAATAAATATATTTTCCAATTTTCAATTTTCTCTCACAGGCGGTGGCGGGCCAGGAGGAGAGTGTGGAGGCCCTCCTCCAGCGGGGGGCCGCTGTGTGTGTCAAAGACATCCGGGGCCGCTCCCCTCTTCACCTGGCCTCCGCCTGTGGCCGTGTGGGGGTCCTGGGGGCCCTGCTGCAGGCCACCCCCACCAACTCCCTCACTCTCACACACCTCACTGACAACCAGGGCTACACACCTCTGCACTGGGCCTGCTACAACGGTACACAGCGGGACACACTGGAGGAACATCACTGTTCTGTATGAAGCGACAGCAGGAGTATTCACATCTGTTCCTCTCTTTGTATCTCAATCTGTTCTCTAGGATACGATGCTTGTGTGGAGGTGTTGTTAGACCACGAGGTGTTCAAGAGGATTAAAGGCAACCCCTTCACTCCACTGCACTGTGCTGTGTAAGACGTTGTGTACCTATTCATGTTTTTCTGTAGATAGGCACTGGTCTGAAAGCTTCTGACAGTGTGTGTTTTGTATTTCAGTATGAGCGATAATGAGGGAGTGGCTGAGATGTTAATTGAGTCCCTGGGCACGGCTATCGTTAACTCCACTGACCCCAAGGGCAGGTGAGACATAAAAAAAAAGCTAGCATGACATCATCTTTTTTTATTAAAGCTGTTCACGTGCACAGGATCTGCTGCTGTATTGCCAACTGTGTTTGTGTCTTCATAGGACCCCACTCCACGCTGCAGCTTTTTCCGACCATGTGGAGTGCGTTTCCCTGCTGCTGAGCCACGGAGCTCAGGCAAACGTAGTTGACGCACACACACGCAGCACACCGCTGATGATGGCAGCTCTAAACGGACAGACCAATACTGTGGGTCAGTATAAACTGACAAATAGATTCACTGTCTGTTTCTTTTTTTGTTTCTTTTTTTGTCTCTGTTCGATTCTCTTTTTTTCTTCTACTGTTATTTCATCTTTGAGTCTTTTTTTTTTTTTTTAACCTTTGACATGAACACACCTCCTTTCATGTGTTGCAGAGATGTTGGTGAGCAGTGCTAAAGCAGACTTCACACTACAGGATACAAACAGGAACACAGCATTGCATCTGGCTTGCAGCAAGGTAACAATTCACAGAGACAGGAAGTGCTTTTGTATTGACTGGCCATAGTGTGACTTTTGGTGATTAAGATGTCCCCAAAAATCTCTTAATCACCCAGTCAGTGTTGCTCATCAGGTGGCTGCTGAAAAAGTACATTTCACATAGTAATGATGGTAAAACCAATTTTTTAGTGAGCTGTCCCTAAACATAGATGTGAAAAACAAGAAGTATACAACATGTACTATTGGTCACCTCTTTGCTCTCCGTACCTCTCAGGGTCAAGAGACGAGTGCCTTGTTGATTCTAGAGAAGATCAGCGACAAGAACCTCATCAACAGCACCAACACTGCTCTCCAGACGTAAGAGCATTCCCAGGATGCACCAGGGTAATCTGCTTAATTCAGACTGCTTTTATTTGAACCTCACCCACCCTCCTTCTTGTTGCAGGCCGCTGCATGTAGCAGCGAGGAAGGGGCTGATAGTGGTGGTTCAGGAGCTGCTGGGGAAAGGAGCCAGTGTGTTAGCAGTGGACGAGAACGGTCAGATTTCACTTCACTGCACATCCCTCACTACTCACACATACTGCCACAGTGAGACGTGAACTTTCCTTCTTCTTGATTTTTCTTTTATGCGTAGGTTACACTCCGGCTCTGGCATGCGCTCCTAACCGAGATGTGGCCGACTGTCTGGCGCTCATCCTCAACTCCATGATGCCCACCTCCCCCATGGTCACCATTGCAGCTTTGCCTGCACTTTCTCTTACTCACACAGTCATCAACCACCACCCCACCAACAACCACGTCTCTAAAGGCGTGGCCTTTGACTCTCTTCCCCCTCTGAGGCCGGACCACGCCTCCTACTGCAGACCGGAGCGCCTGCTGTCCTCCATCACCGGGGACGATGAACTGAATGACTCAGATTCAGAGACGTACTGAGGACATACCTGCTATTGGACCGAGCCCTACACTACTGGCAGACTAGCCAGCCACTCAGGAGCCTTAAATGATCATTGACAAAAAGCTAAAAGAGAGAAAACAGACGGAAAATAGAGCAGACATGCAGATTATTTTTAGATAAGCTTCTTCAAATCTAAAAATAACCCCTTGTTGTACACCATGTTTCTCTTAAGGTGCATACCCACGGGGTAAAAAATAATGTACTAGAATTTAGAATAATGTGAATACAGACTACATTTCTCTCAGACAGCATCACTGTATGGTCAGTAACATGGCCTATATCTTTTTCAATGTAAAGCAATGTTGGTTATTCTTTTTTAAATTAAGCTCCTTCTCTTTGCTGATACTTCCTGGAGTGATTTTAAGCCTTTTCACAATTTTTCCTTCAACTATTACTAGAAGAGCATCTACTGGAAAAAAGCTCAGTGTACTGCTTTTATTCTTACAATTGTCTAAAGAAAAAAACAGATGGAAAATGTAATGGGACCAGGAGATTGATAGCTGTTTTCCCTTACTGTACTTTTGAGTTTTTATTCAGAGCCTTCATGGCAGACAGTCACGCACACTTGAGACGCTGCATTATTGTTATTGAACCACTTTTCAATTCCTAAGAGAGGAAATTATTATTGAATCCTATGAATTTATTCCAAGTGGAAATGGAATCCCTGGGAGCTGATGAGGACAGCAGATGGATGTAAGATTCAGTGTGTGATTGGTCCAGGATTTGATTGATGACCCGAATGAGCGGCTCAAGGTACTTGTAACCTGCAATGCTGTAACTACTCAATGTCTTTGTACTGTACTGTACTGTACTGTACTGTACTGTAGGCAGAGGAAATGGCTGACACTGTGTGTGTGTGTCTGTGTGTGTGTGTGTGTGTGTGTGTGTGTGTGTATATATAAGAGAGAGAGAAATTAATAAATATTGCCTTTTTAGGAACAAGAAACTTTCAGACAGAGATGAATAATACTGGCGCAATGTTTGTAAAGATTGTAAGTAATTAACAAATAAAGATATTCGTTTTTGATTTATCTCAGTTAATGTTTGACAGAAGACAAATGTTTGATTTTGCACCCTGTGGTTTGTTTATAACCTTACATTAGCCTTTTAATTCTGGCGATTGCATTTACATGCAAAAGTCATTTGTGGTGTTAATTTTTAGAGATTATCCTGCTGAACAAAACATGTAAGTGTCATTAACATGTGTTTGCCACAGATCTTAATTTTTGGACGATTCCAAAATCGAATTGAACAATCCCAAACCTTTTTTAGGATGACCCGCTTGCAATGGGGGTCATCCTAAAGAATTAAGTCATCCCTTCACCACTCTATTGGACCAAGCCTTCACTGTCAAATAATACCATTGTTGTGTATAATAAAAGTTTGATAGTTCATATTGTAACGTTGTTTTAGAACACCCTACGGCAGGGGTGTCAAACTCAAGGCCCGCGGGCCAAAACCGGCCTGCGACCTCATTTTACGTGGCCCGCAAGAGCTACCAAAGAATATGATATACAATACATTTGGTGTAATTGTTCAATATTTGCTCTCAATTACTTGCCCTCGACTTCTACTTACAGACGTAGTTATTTATGAAGTTATTACCAGAACTGATAATAATCCAATGCAGAGCCAATAATGTAATATAATTAGGGCTGTCAAGTTAACGCGTTAATAACGCGTTAACGCAAAAAAAAATTAACGCCACTAATTATTTTAACGCGATTAACGCATGTGTATTTTTTGTCCTCGGCCGCCGTAGTTTCAGAGCGCATCGAGTTTAAAATACCATCTACAAGCTGATGCTGACAGCCCCGCTCCTGCTGCCCGCTTGTGGCAGACCACACTTCCACGCTCACCGGCAGGCCCGGACTGGCCATCGGGAGGACCGGGAGGGTGTGTGTATGTGTGGCGCGAGCGAAGCACACCTTACGTGTTGTTGTTAGCATCTGGTGCTAGCTAGCTGAGCTAACGGATATAAGGAGCTGTTTCAATGAAAACAGAGGAGCGACATTTCGCCGACAACTGCGCCGAGCACTTGACTTTATGCAGGTAGCCAGACAGCACACTCAGCACGGATAGTGCCGCAACACAGCTCATACACACAGGCATATATGCCTTGAGCTGCACATAGCTCCAACGATCCTTCACACACACACACACACACACACACACACACACACACACACACACACACACACACACACACACACACACACACACACACACACACACACACACACACACACAGTATTATTGTATGAGAGAGGTTCCAGGTTGAATTGAGGCGAATATTTGTAATGTTCAGAGGTTGTTGTGTTTAATATTCATGAGAATATTTGTCATTGTTCAAATGATAATAAACAAACATATAAAGCATAGTTGTCCACTCATATGTTGATAAGAGTATTAAAAACTTGAAAAATATCCCTCTAAGGTACATTTAGAACAGATAAAAAATGTGCGATTAATTTGCGATTAATCGCGATTAACTATGGACAATCATGCGATTAATCGCGATTAAATATTTTAATCGACTGACAGCCCTAAATATAATACATTATTTTATATATGTATATTTATATAGTCTTAAAGTTACAACCGGCCCTTTGAGTGCAAACATAATGCTAGTGTGGCCCGCAATGAAGTTGAGTTTGACACCCCTGCCCTACGGGGACTTCATATCAAAGCCACAGGATCATCTTAACTATGTGAAACCTTAGCTGTCAGTGTATTTTCATATAAATATTCTCTTGCTGTTGAGTCAAGTGGTCACTCTTAATCAGCATAACATGCCTTCTATTATATTTTGAAGCTAACCATCATCATGAGGAATGTTAGGATTGCACATCTGATTAACATCATAACCCCTATTTAAAAAAATACAACACAGACACGACAAGAGGTACCTTGATTTATTGTATGGACTTACAAACCTCCAGTTATGAATGTTATGGTTGTACAATTGTTTTCTATTAAGTGTTAAATTGTCCATAAATCTGCAACTCTTTAGCCCTTTTTTCAAATTGGCAAAAAGTAAGTTCTTGTTACCGAGTCTGTCATTTTATTCATTGTCCAGGTGATACATTCGTCCGTACAGACAGGCAGTGACCAGCCCACCGGTCATGTTTGAGTGTGTCATGGTCACTGTGCCATCTGGAGCTGTTTCCAGTTGCTTTGGCTGCTCCAGGACAAACTTGCTGGCCAAAACTGATGGATACACATATGTGCTCCCAAACTTCCCTTCCAAAACAAAGTCAAATTTAGACTCTGCCTCTTGTACTTTCTGTCCACAGGAACTGGGGTCCAACCCTGCACAGCGGAGGAGTGCACACACCTGCAACATAGATAATGCATTTTACAAGAGGCAGTTTAAAATATTACAATTATTTTTTTCAAATGTATACCTGGATGAAGTAGATTCCGTGGTGTTTTCCAGCAAATGCTCCCAATGCGTAGAGCTCTTTACTGTCACCCTGTTGTATCCGCCGGTACTGGAGGTTGCAGCAAAATTTGCCATTACACACGTTGACTTCGCCCTCTGTCTCCATCAAGGGGACAAATGTAAATGGGTCGTATGTCACGGATGAGTTAAAGGTTTCAGGAGCTGTATGGAGAAGATGTGCAATATATATATATGTATATATTATATATAAATAGCACAGCAATTTTCGATATATATATATATATATATACCTGACAACATTCCTGGTTCAAAGGACTGCGCAGCTGAGCTCACAGATGTCCTCAAAGACATCTTCAACATCTCCCAGCAGGCTGTTGTTCCCTCATGCTTCAAGGTAACCACCATCATACCTGCACCGAAGAAGTCATCACTTTCCTGCTTCAATGACTAGTGCCCAGTAGCGCTGACTTCCCCCATCATGAAGTGCTTTGAGCGGCTCGTCATGAAGCAAATAAAATGCACCCTCCCTCATTCCCTGGATCCGTTTCAATAGGATATTGAAGCAGTCCACTGAGGATGCAATCTCCTTTGCTCTCCACCCAGCCCTCTCCCACCTGGACACAAACAAACTCTTATGTTATGGATGCTGTTCATAGACTTTAGCTCAGCGTTCAACACCATCATCCAGCAGCTGGTTTGTAAACTAACAAACCTGGGCCTCAGCCCCTTTCTCTGCAATTGGCTGCTGGACTTCCTCACTGCCAGACCCCAATCTGTACAGGTCAGCAACAACACATCAGGCACCATCACACTGAGTACGGGGGCCCCCCAAGGATGTGTGCTCAGCCCCCTGCTCTTCACCCTGCTGACCCACGACTGCACACCCACCCACAGCTCCAACCACTTCATCAAGTTTGCGGATGACACAACCGTGGTGGGTCTCATCAGCAACAACGACGAGACCCACTACAGCAGGGAGGTGAACCAGCTGGCCACGTGGTGCATAGACAACAATCTCTTTCTCAATGTGGAGAAAACAAAGGATTGTTGTCGACTTCAGGAGAACCGACACCCAACACACCCACCCACTGACCATCGGTGGTGCTGCTGTGGAGCAGGTGGAGCTGCACCAAATTCCTGGGGGTGAACATCACCGGGGACCTCTCCTGGAGTAACAACACCACGTCAATCACCAAGACAGCCCAGCAGCGCCTATACTTCGTCCGAAAACTGAAGAGAGCAGGAGCCCCCCCCCTTTACCTTTAATATTTTATATGCATGCTTCTTAATTAATATTAAGCTATCTTTGGCTCTTTAATTGCTGTAACAAATGTAAATGTCCCCCTCGTGGGACGAATAAAGGTATTCTGATTCTAATTATTCTGAGGAGGATGATCCAAACAGATTCCTTAAGTGTAGATGATGTGGACTCACCCCCAACTAACCCCTCCTCTGTGTCCACACTCTGCCCCGCCCACAGTGGGTCTAAGACTGGCACCCTGGCCACCAGCAGCATGCCCTCCTCTGGGTCTCCTTTCTGGGCGTGGTGGTACGTAGCAGAATAAGGAGTGTAGATGCCACTTCCTGTCATTGTCTTGTATCCATGAGTAAGGGGGACGTTTTCTTTACGAAGGTTTGCCGCAAGCAGGGTGACCTTAGCACCTAAGCTAAATGCACTCTGGAACTGAACTGAGTCCAGCAAAGGGAGCGAGTTGAGCCAGCCTGTGGGGTAGATCAGCTGATGCACACCCTGAAAGAGAGGAGGCCCTTGTCAGAAAGAGAGCAGACCAAAGAGAACTGTAGCGTTGGGTACAGAAAATGAGTGGCTGTTTTCCTACCTTCTCAACCAGTTCAATTGTAGGCTCATAGAACAGGATGTCAAAACAGGTGATGAGACCAAACCTCCCAGCAAAAGGTGTATCAAACGTTATGATCTCAGGTTGCGGCGGCTTGTCAAAGGATTCTTCAAAGTAGAGGTTTTGTTTATGGTATCGGGCCACCAGCAGGCCATCTGAACTGTACGGAAGAAGATTGTGTGAAAGGCTTACTAGAAAATTACGTATTGGTGCACTTGTTGGACTACAGCTAATCTAAACGTTTTATTTAATCTATTTTTACCACTTTACACTAGCCTCAGACAATGCTTTAAACAGGAAACAGAAGCTATTCATTTTGCATTTTTGTAATTCTTCAGGTCGTTTCAACAAAAACAATAATAATTTCACTTGCAGAAGTGGGAGTTGATTGTCAACCGCTGCCTGGTTGGGTTAAGTTGTTTGCGTTATCATCCAACTTTGGTGTTGGTACAGATTCATCAAAGTCACTCAATAACACAAATGAACTAACTGATCAAAGAAATGTTAGTCCAGCAAGCAGCAACCCCTGTGTTTCTCAAAGGTAAAATTACAGTTTTTGTCAAAAAGGTCTATTTGATTGGAACAGAGCATCGATAATGACTGTTGTAAAACTGAAAGAGCTAACTGCTGACAAATCTGACCATCCCTTTACATTTTGCACTGCACCTGAAAACCACGTTGGTGTTGAACTGCCAATGTCCATCAGGGGGACAAGAGGAGGAGGGGTCAGTCTTCAGGGGGCAGGGCTGCAGGTCGGCCATGTTGGCCACCAGGTAGAGGTTGTAACGACGGGCCATACAGCTCAACGTCTGGAGAACCTGCGAAACAAACACAATTAAATGTGGTTTTTATTCTCATAATAACTGTTGCATCACTTAAGGCTCTTGGGTGACTCCATGGCATGGGAGTATTGTGTTAAGCTGCCTCCAAATTACATGTGATGTGTTCTTTGCTCACCGCAAGGTAGGGCACACATCCTTGTAGTGAAAAAACAGCTAGTTGCTTTTGTTTATATGGCAACATTCCCTACTTGTCAGTGCCATTTAATACAGCTGTACGTCAAAATGATCAGTGGCATTTGAGGACAATGTTTAAATATGTGTAACTTTTAACCCACCGCTAGTCGGGCGGCACCCCTCTCCATAGGAACACAACGGTACAGCCCGATCAGATATGTTTTGCCGCTGAATGTGTGAAGGCATCTTAAGAATCTTGTTCATAACATCAGATCTGAAAGTGTGATTGTGCACCTCAGTGTTGTTGTATTTCCCCGGCTCTGTGCAGGGGTTCCAGCTCTCCTCCTGGGGGTCAGGAATGGTTTCCAGGTAGTTAAAGATGGACAACCGGCTGAAGTTGTAACCCTGAATACCATCTTCTGGAAACACCAGGATTTGGACACCCTGACCAAGTGAAGATTGGGGGAAAGTAAAGAGATGAAACAACCTATTACTCTACTGTAGTCATGAACTGTGTGACAGTAAATGTGCTTCTTTATGTGAGTTATGTAGGGTATTTTAGCTCTGAGTTAGGATTAGCTGAAAAGAGTCCAGGAAGCGTATTTTCAAGTCAACAGCGTTTAATTAAACAATGATACAATCAATTTGCAGTGAGTGACTCGGCCCGAGTGTGCTCCCTCCGTGATGGACGGCTGGAAAAGAGACGTCACGTATTTATCATCCGTAGTCTTCTCCTATTGGCTTAGCGTCGACGGGGGCGGGTCCAAGGCACGTCCTGTCGTTTTCTGATGTTAGTTTTACAATCTTCTGTTGGTCATTTAAACATTCGATAATAATAGTATTGCAGCGTCAATAAGTGAGAGTTGAAGACAGTGTGTTTAGTGTGCAACACCACGTGTCATTCTCCTTATATTCACGTACACAAAATAATATTAGCTACATGCTAATGCTACTAAAACCGTCTGAACAGACAGGAAGTCGAGTGTGTGTCGACAATGTAGAGAACATCCGGTTAAAAATAAAACAGTGTTATTAATTTAAAGTTACAGTTATACAGAGAAACAGAACCACTCCTGATGACTCAGTTTACAATACATGTCCGTCTTTGTAAGTACCCTACTATCATGATTTAAAGAATGTCCTTTTTATTTAATATAATCCTGACAGTACCTTGTAGTAATTTATGGCCCTGATCAAGCAGAAACTGATTCTAAGCTCCAATGTCATGCTTTTCCGGTTATTACCCGTCCCCTTGTGTGTTATGAAGGTTTTTATGCATGTAAACGGTGTGCAGAGTCAAAACCCTCAAAGTACACCCTGTAGCGAGTAAAACTCTAACACAGAAAATACCTCCCCAAAACGCCTCGTTGGAGATACGTCACTGCCCATTTGAGTCTTCCATTTAGTTCCGGGTACGGCCTGATGTCATGCGGTACCCGGAACGAAATGGACCAATCCCGAAGAGCTATGGCCACACCCAGCGGCGCTGGCCGCACCCTCTGCCAGCCTAACATTTACTGTTGGAAGCTCTGGTTCAGTTCACAATCGATCCAGTCATGCCACTGCCAAGGACCTGTTTCCTGAAATGTGAGGAGAAATCTGAGCTGTTTGTCCTACCGACGGAAGAACCACGACGAAGTCAGTGGTTGAAATTTCTTTTTAACACTGTTCCTTCAGAGGTTCGAAGAACCGGTATTTCACAGACGAAAGCTTCCAAAACATTGCCCAGTTTGAGGCCGGATATGCACAGCTTGTTTGGACCGTTTGGAGCAGGGGAAGATTCGGGTACACAACCTGTAAGTTTGCATTGTTATTTGTGTATTTATCAAACAAGGTATCTACCACGACTGGTTAAATGTGTAAACCGGACTCCTAAGTCATTGACATAGTGCTAACTGGGCTAACTAAGTTGCTAGCGTTTCCATATATCATTTGTATCACACAGATGCAGGACTTGCACACGCCTGTTATCTAACCGACAGGTCCGCACGCACTCTCCAGCCGAAACTCTCGTTTTATTAATTTAAGCATTTTCTTATTAATTTATGCAGACACACCCCCCCCCCAAATGCAATACCAGCCGCTCAATGCGCAGTGCAGATTCGGTAATGAATAAAAAAGAAGCATTCATTCACAAAGTAAATCAGGAGACCTTTAAAGTTTTATGTACACATCAAAGTATCAGTAGGCGTGTATGAAACACATGAATTCAAAAACAATTATGTACAGAAACATTTGCATGCGATAGTCCACCTTCTCTTCCCTTCCCTTTCTAACACACGGCAAGTGCAGCAACAGTCCTCGTCTCTGTAATTAGCTCAGTCCGTAGTCCAAAAGTAACTAAAAAATATAAACAATCTCATCTATTCAGGTGAAATCGCCAGCCGCTTCTGAAGGGAAGCCAGAGGCAGCTGGCTTCCCTTGGCATGGCCCTGACCAATCACAGGTTGGCAGGGGCATCACGTGGGCCTCATCTGATTGGTCAATCCCTCAATTTTTTTCACCAAGGGAAGCCCTATCCGACTGGCCTCCTCTCGCAACAGTGAATGCAATCTACTGTTTCACCATAACATCTAGAGGGGCGCTGTTTGTTTCACTCTTTGTAAAATACTCAATGAGAGTGGGGGAGAGACGGGCCTGCAGCAAAACACAGCAAAGGAGAATTATCGAAACAAAACAAAGTGTTTTTATTTATTTATTTAAATTATAGCTACAATCCGAAAAAACAGGGGAAGCCTGGCTTCCCTTGGCCTCCGGGAGAAAACGCCACTGCTGTACCGACGCCATGATAAGACTGATGTTCGGCTGAGAGCAGCCGTTTAGACATGGGCGCAGCCTCTCTGGTGGTTGACTAATCAGAACAGAGTGGCCGAGCTGACCAATCGGAGCACACTAGGCTCACAGGGAGGGGGGGGCAAGAGCTCCAACGAGTCGTTTAGTGGAGAGAGTGAATACTGCTGAATACACATGCTTGACAGAGATGCTGTATGCGAAACCAATGTGAGTTTGGAAAATTGCACAGTATAAATCTATTTTAGTATACCTCAACAATGTAATTATGATCAGTGGAAATGGCCATGACATGGGCCCTTTAAATTGGTGGTCTTCGGTTAGGATCTGTTGAATATAAACTACAAGATATAGTTTCTACTAGAACATGTTTAAATGCTTTAATGTTCAAAAAAAGATTTTTCTCATACTGACTGTCCTGTCAACTGATGTCATTGAAATATGCTGCAACAAAAAATAAACCCGTAAAACATACATTTAGAATTTTTTGTTTAAAATTCTTAAAAAATTGTGATTTCATAACTTTTCAGTGCTGATGGCTTTTTAAAGGCATAGTTTCTGAACACAGATTGTTTGCATTTCATTTAAATATTTTCACAGAATTTAAATAGCACTTGTTTTTTATTTTTAAAAATAGATTAGAATAAAAAAAGAACTAACATAGTGGAAAGCTTGAATTAAAAATGAACAATTATGACACGCAGGACAATTCACTTACTTTCACTGAAGACAGCAACAAAATATGTATCACTGTTCTATCCAACATACCTGTTTGGTGGCTTTGGCAGCCTGCACCTGGTAGATTTCCAGGTTTTTCTGCATGTTCCTCAGGGCATCAGAGCGGGAAACAGGGATACGAGGGTCACCAGTCTGGATGACGGTGTGCTCATAAACAGCAGCAACGTACGAGGAGTCCACGTTGGGCTCCATTTGAACGACTACTGTTAAAAAAGAAAAACTGATGACAATGATTAAAAGCATTGTTCCAATCTTCAAATGTTCCTGACATGAACAAATGGTGTACACCAGATGGACAGGTTATCATTTTGATAGAGAGGGTTCAATGTCTAATATAAGGCTGAGGTAAACAGAGATAAAGAACATTTGTATTTGCACATTTGTATTTGTCAGAGGCGAATGAACCAATATATAGGAACATATAGGGTTGTGTTTACCGTATAAATCTGGGAACACATTCACACTTGTATTTTGTGCTGCTCTATGTTTTTTTCCAATACCTTTACATAATGTACAACCAATCAGATGATTAGAGGTTTAATCTCCTGAAGTCAATATATCAATGTATCCAGGGGTTAAATTGGGATTTGATATGTAGTGGGGGGTGGGGGTGGGGGTGGGGGGGGATCTCATGATTTGACCTTAAGGGCTACTGTATATGAGGCCCTAAAGCATTATCTGCTCCATTATCTGTATCAAATGCTGCAGCTCGGATCGGAGCAGAGACACACGTTCACTAGCCGAAAAACTATATCCGGTCACAGAGATCTGCTATTTTAATGTCAAATCAACACATATCAACCCTAATATAGTCTATATTAAGAACGAAAAAAGTTTTAACATATAGTTTTTTGTATATGACAAATTTGCGAGGGTGATGACGTCAGAGCATCGTCCTATGTGCCGGGGACAGTCCCGGCCCAATTTAACCCCTTAATGTATCATTGGGCAAGATACTGAACCATTAATGCTTGCTTAGAATCCCTGGAGGACTGCTCGTGGCAGTAAACAAAGTGAATAGCTCGCATCAAGCTTTATGCAGGTTAAAATATCATATTAACACATTTTAAAGTGAGTTTAAAGCTCTTGCTGAAATAAAATAGTCCTCATCTTCTCCAAAATCTGGAGGAAAGTACCTAAAGGAGTGAGTGGGGGACAAGAAACATGCACAATTGCTTTAAGCAGCATTTTTTAAGCTTGTAAAAACTGTCTTCTAGCAAGAAGGAAGGTTTGCCTTTATGAATTCTGGTATACTACAATCCTCATGTGATCTACTACTTTGCTTTGCTGGCCATTGTGGGAAAGAGAGCTTTTATAAGCCAGAGGTTGGAAGGTCTTTCCAAATCATAGGCTTTCCAGCTGATGCTGCCACAGGACACAAATCAGAACCGAGTGCAAGCAGATGTTTTATCACAAATGCCAACAAACAAACAAGTGGTAAGAAAGTCAGGCGATCCAACCTGCTGCTACCTTGATAACCTCTATTGCTAAGAGTAGCCATTCCAAACAAGAACTGTAGGTGGCCTCCGAAATCTAAAGCCATGTGATACATATTTATTTTGTTTAGGAAGGGATGAAACGGAATTTCTGGACTGACTGTACATATTTTTATTTTGAATGCTACATCCCACCACATCAGAAATTGATGTCCGAGACTGATGCAGTAATGTGTGTCAAAAGATAAAATGTGCAAAAGCTAAACAAGTGTTGGTTAGACTTTTTTTTTTATGATTCAGTATTAAAATGTGTTTGATATTTTTCCCCTCTACATCGGTTCCAAAACAGTTCATTCATTGTCCAGGTGATACATCCGTCCGTACAGACAGGCAGTGACCAGCCCACCGGTCATGTTTGAGTGTTTCATGGTCACTGTGCCATCTGGAGCCGTTTCAAAATGTTTTGGCTGCTCCAGGACAAACTTGCTGGCCAAAACTGATGGGTACACATATCTGGACCCAAACCTCCCCTCCAACTGGAAGTCCATTTTAGACTCTGCTTCTTCTATTTCCTGTCCACAGGAACTGGTGTCCAACCCTGCACAGCGGACGAGAGCACACACCTGCAACAGAAATACATTAAGATATTAAAATATCTAAAAGGATTCTCATTCATACCTAGAGTTTGTAAAATTCCAGAAATATGTAAGATTTACATTATATAATATCGAAGCAATTTGCTCAGGCTTAATTTATTATGTGATATGCAGATAGGAACAAAGCTTATACTTTTGCATAAAAACAAGAATCCACCAATGTGGCAAATAGATACAGTTTAAATTGTGCCATTTGGGTAGCTAGCTAAATAATTTATGGTGCTTCAAAAATGTAGGCTTTGAGCACATTTAGTGTTTAAAGTAAGCAACTAGTTTTTAGAAGAGGTTTTTGACCATAGAGACTAAATGATTTGTTAAAAAGCCTCAATTAGAAAAATTGTCTTTTAACCAAAACATTCCAGAATACCGCTCATATGTCTATTCCCTCTGCACATAAGTTCAATATAAAAGTATACTTTTTTTCTATTTAAAAAACATGCAAAAAGTCCCAAATTATCTTGGACATTTTCAGACTCTTTGCAACCCCTTTGGTACCTGCACAGCGTAGCGTCCATTCACAGTGTGAGTTCCACCAAATGCTCCCAATGCGTAGAGCTCTTTACTGTCGCCTTGTGGAATCAGCCGGTACTGCAGGTGGCAGCAAAAGGTGCCATTACACACATTTACTTTGCCCTCTGTCTCGTCCAAGAGGACAAAAGTAAATGGGTCGTACATCATGGATGAGATGAAGGTGGACGTGGAAGAGGCAGAGGAGGAAGGAGGAACTGAAGAAGAGGTTTCAGGAGCAGAAAAATCCAAACAGCTCTCTTTGTGACAGAACCCGGAGTCTTTAGCTGTAGACCCGTCTGTCACGCTCTGCCCCGACCACAGAGGGTCTAAGACTGGCACTCTGGCCACCAGCAGCCTGCCCTCATCTGGGTCTCCTTTCTGAGCGTGATGGGATTTGACAGAAAAAGGAGTATAGATGCCACTTCCTGTCATGATCATTTGATCGTTACGAATGTTTGCCGTCAGCAGGGTGACATTGGCACCTAAACTCAACGCATGCTGGAACTGGATTGAATCCAATAGAGGAAGCTGGTTCATCCAGGCTGTGGGGAAGATCAGCTGACGCACACCCTAAAATGAGAGGCCAATGTTAGAAAAAGAGAAGACCAAACAGAGGACGTTAGAGTTGGGTGAGTGTCTACCTTCGTCACTAGTTGAACTGTAGGCTCGTAGAACAGGATGTCAAAACAGATGATGAGACCAAACCTCCCAGCAAAAGGTGTATCAAACGTTATGATCTCAGGTTGCGGCGGCTTGTCAAAGGATTCTTCAAAGTAGAGGTTTTGTTTATGGTATCGGGCCACCAGCAGGCCATCTGACCTGTATGAAAGAAGATTCTGGGAAACATTCACAAGGAAATAGTGTATTGGTGCACTTGCTGGACTTCAGATGAACAACTTTTATTTTAAGTTCTGCACTGCACCTGAAAACCACGTTGGTGTTAAACTGCCAGCGTCCATCAGAGGGACAAGAGGAGGAGGGGTCGGTCTTCAGGGGGCAGGGCTGCAGGTCGGCCATGTTGGCCACCAGGTAGAGGTTGTAACGACGGGCCATACAGCTCAACCTCTGGAGAACCTGTGAAACAACTCAAATGTGAATTGTGTTGCATTACTGGAGGCTCTGAGGCTGAGCAAACAAGTGGTCTCTCCATTTCAGGGTGTGTGATTGTGCACCTCAGTGTTGTTGTATTTCCCCGGCTCTGTGCAGGGGTTCCAGCTCTCCTGCTGGGGGTCAGGAATGGTTTCCAGGTAGTTAAATATGGACGACCGGCTGAAGTTGAAACCATGAATACCATCTTCTGGAAACACCAGGATTTGGACACCCTGACCAATGAAGGATGAAGTACACAAATAATGCAACGTATTACTCTATGGTAGTCATAACATGTGTGATAGTAAACTTGCTCCTTTTATGTGAGTATATAGAGAAATACAACCACTCCTGATGACTACTTTTTAGTTATGCCACTTATCGAACAGAAACGGATTGTTACAGAGTTATGATGCAACTAGGTTAACTGTTAAATAGTCTTCAATTTATAGCAACAACAACAATACCGGTGACATATGAGTCTTTACTAAGTGTCCAAGGACCAATACACTCCAAAGTTAATAATTAACCATAGTGCAAATGTGTGTTGTTTGTTTGGCTGTCAGGAAAAATGGTGACATGCAGGACAAAGTCTCTGCATTTCACAATTGTGTCACTTTGAGTAACCCTTTTTGGACGCCAATAAAAGTCCATGTTGAAAGGTTTTCTGCTTTACTCCTAAACATGCAGTATTGAAATAAATGGATACTGGTTGAGGGCTTCAAACTAATGTATTTACCCGTCCAATATTTTCCAGAATAATAGGTTAATTATTTGCTTAGGAGAGAAGCAGGACATCTTCATATTTAAGAGCTTGATACTCAACCCTTCTCTTGCGTTAGGTCATACCCCCCTTCCCATACTATTTTCAGTCAAAATTGACCGGTGTGTTTTGCACAGTGATATCTCTGGAACCCCTTATCCAATTTTGAAGGTTGACATCTCATTTGAACAGTCAAAGCAAGTCAAATCAAGGGGTGGCAGAGAGAATTACACCAGGGGTGAATTTCATCTTATAATTTTGCAGTAAGTTCAAAGATAGTGCTTACTGTACATTAGTGTATATTATAAAAATGCTTGCCATGTAGGCTGTGTTTACTGGAGATGTCAAATGTGAGCAAGGCACAAATATAACTGCATGAGAGACAGTAATGGAGGGGCATTTACTGCGAGAACGTGAGAGGTTTTTCTTTCTCGAGGGGCACAGAGCTCGCACCTGTGAGAAGGTATGATACATTGTATCATACAGCACGAGAAAGTGAGAGGTTCCCGTAACTTAGAGTCAATTGTGTTGTCTGGAAGGTGTGGGGGGACATAAGCACAAGTGTGTGTGTGTGTGTGTGTGTGTGTGTGTGTGTGTGTGTGTGTGTGTGTGTGTGTGTGTGTGTGTGTGTGTGTGTGTGTGTGTGTGTGTGTGTTAGGGCTGCTCAATTATGGCAAAAATCATAATCACGATTATTTTGGTCAATAATTGATATCACGATTATTAAATACGATTATTCATTGACTTTGAAAACATCCATTTATTGAACTTTAAAACCAATACAAATAATAATTTGAACAGTATCTTTTTAACTGTTGATTACCCTGAACGTATAATTCAACTGAAAAACCAATACTAAAATAAATGATACATTTATATTTACATTTAAATAAATAATATCAAAAATAATAAATACCAATAAACAAGATCAACAAATATTTTGGAGCGCACTTCAACAAGCTTCTAAACATATATAAATATGATAAATAAAAATAAATTAGACTAAAATAAATTAGATCAAATATGTTGCAGTGCACTGTCACAACCTAGCAAAGCAAAAATAATCAACGATTACAATTGATTAAGATCTTGCATATTATTCCTGTCAACTGACTAATCGACTAGTCCTTACAGCTATTTAGTTGATAAACAGAAGCTGTATCTATGAAGTGGACCAATTTGATTTTGGCTGAAAAAACATGTCTCTCTCTTCTAACTCGACAGTACCTGCTGAGCGGCTCTGGCAGCCTGCTGCTCGTAGATATCCAGGTTTCGTTGCATGTGCTGCAGGGCTGCGGGGCGGGACAGGGGGACCCGGGGGTCCGGGTTCAGGATGACATTGTGCTCATACACAGCAGCAATGTACGAGGAGTCCACAACTGGCTCTGTTTGACCAAGAGCCGTAGATACAGATAAACTGCTAAAAACAATAACCGACAACAACATGGTTCCTTCCCTGAGAGACATGAAGAGCATCTGAGTCCTACAAGTGTTTCATGTTCTGCTTTAGAGGTGATAAGCTCCCCTTGCGAAATAGTTGTGTCGTTCATGTGGTCGTAATTTATGCAGCAGCTTTGGCTTTCATTTCATTTTGGAATATATAGCTACTTGTCCAGCCCGTAGATCCTTTATATATACAGTCTATGGTCCTGCCCTGAAAGCATACATTGTTCTTTACAGCATGAGCGACAACCTGGCTGTGATATTATACATCCATGGTGATACTGATACATAAACAAACCTTTATTTAAAAAATACACGACCGGAAGTAGTATGCTTAAAACCCGGAACCGCTTTGCAGGGCTGACCTTACTTCAACGACAACCAGCATGAACAGGACCTGAGACACTTCGGTTGTAATTTTGCACATTGCAGACAACATTGTTTAAACACATGCGAAGACATTTTCAGGAACGGAATCGTGTGTTATTTGTCCTCGTTTGTCTGACGTCTCCCTACGTTTTTGTTTACAAAGGGGCGTATTAGCATTAGCTTTAGCACACACCCTGTAGTACAATGTCAACAGCACCGGAGGCACCAGCAGGAAGAGTAACATCATCTGGAGGAGCAACATCAGCTGGAGGAGCCGGCGAGAGGTTCCTGAGCTGCTGGAGCTGTCGGCTCCTCTCCGGCGGAGGGCTGCTCCTTTCGGCCGCTTATGTGTTCAGTGCGGCCCGGAGGTCGCAAATAGGTGGAGTTGCCTCTATTGGGATGATGACGCAGATATCATTCGCTTTATGTAAGTTATCCAACACTCCTGACTGTTCTTAGTGTAACATTACTTAGATTGATAGATAGATTATTTATCAAAGTAGGAAAACATTTTTTGGTCACAGCCACAGTCTATGGTCACAGACAAATCCGACGACTTCTCAGTTGCAGTGGGTGACATTATTGTCACTAGTAAGAAGGAAATTAAATACCTAGGATTTATTCTTGAGGCAAACCTCTCCTGTGACAAAATGGCATCCAATGTAATAAAAAAAGTCAATCAAAGAACTAGATTCCTATACCGGATCTCCTCTCTGGTAAACAAAAACACCCTGAAAACTCTGGCAGGAGCACTCATTCAAGGGTACTATGACTATGCTTGCACGTCATGGTACCATAGCACCTCCAAGGCGCTAAAAATAAAACTTCAAACATCGCAAAATAAACTGGTCAGACTACTGCTTGACCTTTCATCTAGAACCCACCTCACCTCTGCCCACTTTGACAACCTAGGATGGCTTAGAGTAGACGACAGAGTACAGCTACTTGCAATGGGCCTGGTCTACAAGATCCACTACACCTCTATGGTACCCATGTACATGTCAAAATTCTTCCCAAAGGTCAAGGAATACCATGATCATAACACCAGAGGGAGCTCCACAAATCATGTAAAACCCAGATTTGGCACAAAAAAGGGGGAATACACGTTTCGCAATTATGCCACATCAAGGTGGAACGCTCTTCCCACAACTGTAAAGGAAAGTAAAACTATACTTACCTTCAAAACCTCTCTTAAAGAGCACCTTAGGGGGAGAGCATTGCAAAACTGGCCCCGGTAATGGTACAAATCTCAACCTGTCGTACAATGGACAGCTTCCCCCCCCCATCTATGTATATACTCGCATTTTAGACTCTGTTACTAACTGTATATCTGTAGACTTGGTATGTCTTAAATGTCCGGTTAGGATGTATTAGAACGAAATCTAAAATGAAAATTGTAAATAAGCCATCTGTATGTAAAAAAACCACCTGTATGTAAATTGTAAATAAGCCATCTGTATGTCAAATATGTCTTGTATGTCTTAAATGATATGATGAATTGGAAATGGGGGACCCTGATGTAAACAAGACGAAAGTCTTTCTCTGGTCTGCATCCCCTTAACAATTGTATGTTTTGAGCTGTACTGTACTGTACCCAATATACAAGCTGTTAATAAACTTTTCAATCAAACAGCAGCATTTTTTGACAGTAATTGTAAAAACATAATAAAATACAAATAAGAAATACATAAAAAGCCATGTATACACATTCACAGTAGAAAGTACATATATTCAGAAGAGAATCTAAGAATAAGAATGATCTCCAATATACCTTAGTGGACAGAAACATATAAACAGTGTACTAGTGTGTTATGCTTGAAAACACTGCTGCTGTGGAAAGAAATTCCCAATTTGGGATGAATGAAGTATCTTTATATATATCCATCTAAAAATGATTGTGCACATTAGCTTTTAATTTAAAGTAATATATCCTGATAGGTAGTGTAAGTAGGCTACAATATGTGCAAATTGTTCATGATTATAGGGAAGGAGAAACCATACAAACTATGAAGCTTGGAGCTCTCTGCCAGCCAGATGTGATGTCTAGAGTTATTGATGGCAGGATGTTGAGAGGGTGGTTTTACTTGTTTTCATCTTTAGAAGTTATAAATTCAAATCTGTGTTTTTCTTTCAGGTCTGGCTTCATTGGGAGTTGTTATCATCGCTGATCCGGTACAAAAGAAGGACCTGAAGTCTGCTTCGAAACAGGATGGATAACTGGCTCAAACATGGACTGCACGTTTGGTGGCAAATATTCATGGACAATATGAAACAAGCTGAAGAAGTGGCTCTTTGGTCTGTAGTAAAGTTGTGTACAGGGATGTTGTGTATTATTACAGAAACAAGCTTTTCATTGTGTGGATAGATCAAGAATCAATATTGGAAGCTTTTCATTGAATAAAAGATGGAATATATTGTATTTAAATTAAAAAAATGTGATATTTCTGTAATCATTGGAATGTTATGCTTTAAACGACATTTTAAATAGTTTTTAATTTTTATGCAGAAGCACTTGAGTATAAAAGTAAACTTAAGGTGTCATTAGGACTGAGTATTTTTGCCATTTATCACATATCCTTTAAAGCTGCTAGCTCATCTGGTAGACTTTTTCTCCAAATGTTCCTGTGTATATCCAGCTGTACTATATAATAAGGTGGAACAAGCCCCAAATATTAAATGTTGAAGCTCAGATAGTTTTTCTTAGCTGAGAATAAAGTGTTTCACAAATACTGCACTGTAGACAGCAGGGGAAAGTAGAAAGCCATCTGTCTAATATGAGACTTTTATAAGCTGATATTTAACCCTTAGACACAGTGTTTTCATTGACTGAGCTCCATCACAGAACCTGCACATCTCAACAAACCGCAGATGCAGCAAACATACTCAAGACAGCACACACATCGTGGGTCAGTTAGTCTGAGTTACCTTTTATTAGTGTTATACTGATCGGAGCACAATTGCTCACAAGGAAGAGTTTGATAAGCATGATGCAAAAAAACACCCTAAAGTCATTTTCAGTTGCGTAAAATGATCATGACATTCTGATTTTTTTTTTTTAGGTTGAAGAAAAATATGAAAATAGAGTTGACAGTACATTTAGGCACACTATTAACACATACTGTACACATATATGCACACTTTCATTATCATAGATTCATAAATACTGGGGTTAAAAAAAAAGACAAGCCTTCCGATATGAAGAGATGTGCAGAAAGTTAAAAGTGACACCTCCTCCACCGTGGGAACAAAAGATTCACTTCCTAGTTATCGGCTCCAGTTCATGTCCTTTTACTCAGCCAATCAGAGTCCACCAGGGCTGCTCAGTGCAAGCAAAGCAGACGACGGGGGTCCATCCAATGGCTGCAGCAGGATGGGCCTCCGTCTGGCCAATGGGAGAACTGGCCCTCCCACAGTTTGCTACGGTAAGTGCTCATTCGCAGTGATTTGATTGGTCACAGGACATGGCTCTCCTGTGAGCCAATAGACAAGAGGGGAGGGGGGTCTGTTCACACTCAACAGAACAGGCTTAATGCATAAAACACCACTTATGAGTTAAAAAGAAGCAGTTTGTAGTTTGAGGCCCAATGAGCTAAACATCGGGCTGCGACAAGGAAAACCCCCGACCACTGTCCAATCCATACCCACAACACAGATGCTGCACGAGTGGACGAGGGATAAGTGTAAAATACCCCCCACACACACACCACAAAAAAAAAAAATCAGACTTATAAAACAAGTCTGTAAAATAAACTTTGTACTTTTACAACAACGGAATGTAGAGTTGTTGGAACAAGAAGACATTTCTGGGGAAACTTCTCGTGTTTTCTACTATTAAAACGATATGATTGACTTTTTCAGTATACAATGATTCAAAATGCACATGCATTAAAGTAACAAATATTGCACAAAATTAAAGAAATTTTCTCTGAATAAAAGTGAATAGGGATATATTTCCATATATCTATAGTGATGTCCTTTGTAACGTTCAGTCGAGTGAAGGAGAGCTACCTCTAGCGTGCGTCTCTTGGTCAGTTTATAGTACGTTTAAGGCTGGTTAACTAGCTCACACTGGCACAGTTTCTGACTGAAGAGGGTTGCATCTTCAAAACACACACATTCACACATAATTCTACATGAGCCAAATACACTACACCAGAGGGTACATTCTTTGTTAGTGCGCTTTGACAGCTAGAGCTGAGCCTCCCACAACTGTAACACACTTCATGTGTCCTCACAGCCTCACCTCTGAGGTCGTTAAAGGTCAACTTTGCATTATCTCTCCTCACATGATTAGGATATGAAGCACAGTAATGTTCAGAGTGTTCCAACATCAAACCAGTGCACACACACAGGTGTGGAACAGCATGAGCTTTGGTCGTCTCAGGTGGTGAAAGTAGCTTTAAAGGGGAGGTGGAGCTAGAAACAAAAAACTCATCCTGTCTCGAGAGAGGCATTGAAGCTGGGAAAAAATGCAGACAATAAAAATCGAAATGGTCTCTTTCGTCCAATATTTGTTCAGTCACATTTTTTGAAAACAGCGCCTTTTTCAACCCAGTGCTATTGACATATTTGGTTGCTATGAAAAATGGTTTGCAAGTGTGCAGCTTTTGCAGATAAAATGTTTACAGCACGAGGGTAAGTGTGACCACAGCTGAGTGGGCGGGTCACTGAGATGGTGCGGCGTGTCGGGGCCAAGAGACAGAAGCGGGGAGGTAAGGCAAGGTGTGGGTCTATGCTAACTACTCCTGCATTTAAAAAATAATACAGTAAGGTCTGCTCTCTGGAGTCAGGACCGGGAGAAAGCAGCATTGACTGGCCCGTGATGAAGCTAAACACAACTAAAAATGTTTTTAAAAAAAAGGAGGAAGAAAATATCTAAACTAAGACAAAAGACTGCCATGTCCAGTCTTGGTGCAAATTACAGTAATTTGTGTGTGTGTGTGTCACAGGGTGAGAGGAGGGCAGAGTGTGTGTTGTTCCTCCTTCAGTTCTGTGACCACCGAAACACTCAGATGGATAATCGGAGTGTTTTCACTGAAAAGAGTGTGTGAGGGAAGTAGAAGGGGCAGAAATCACACAGATACCTCAACGTTCACATCCACCCCCCCTCACTCTCACTCTCAGCTCTCAAGTCTGTGTGTGTGTAGTCGGCCCGTGTCCCGTCGCCTCGGTCCTCTCCTGTCACCTCTTGAGGGAGGAAGATTTGAGTTTCTGACTATATTTGTGGATGCGTGGCGAGCGGGAGTGCAGCTTGACAAAGAGCTCGGGGAATTTGTACTGGGGGAACATCGTCTCCAAGAAGCCCTCCAGGAAAACGTAGACTAGCCGGCGGTTCATGGGCTGGTACTGAAACATGTCGAAGACGCGGAGGATGCCCTTCCTCGTGGTGTCTGCTCCGATGATGTGTTTCAGCTCGTCTGAGGAAGAGGGAGAGAGATAAAGGGGTCAGGAGGGTGAACAAGGAGGCATGGTGGAAGGAAACTTTTACATGGGGGTTGATTTTTAGCATCAAGCAAACAGAGGTGAAGTACTTGGGTTGACCAGAGAAGGACTTAGGTCAATTAATTGCCCCTTTAATGTTGCTTTAGTGCATGAATTACACATACAACAATTAATAACAGGGACATGAAAGTCAAGGAACACACATTGACCAAAACAGATGATAGACTTTCGCTAGAAAATTATTATAGAGACAATAATGCTTCACAACTGTTAAAAATGTAGCTATGACAAGCTTTCTGTACATCCACTTCCTGTTCTGTAAGGCTCAGATCCAACCCAGTAGATTTATACTTGTTGTCCAGCAGTATGTTCTCAGTTGTACAAGAGACAGGGCGAGTAGTGAACTTGATGAACAGTCCGTAATGGGGCTACATGATGAATACATTAAGTGTGTGTGTTTCACCTGGCATGATGCCCAGCAGACTGGTCTTGGCAGCTATTCGTGTCCTCTGGCGGATGTTTTTGTCCCGGCGGGGCAGCGTCTCAGCCAAAATACCGTTGGGCCAGTAAGAGTCCCTATTGGTAGAAAGATCAACTCAGGGTTAACGATAAATCTTCTGACAAATCAGATAATTAAAAAAAAGTGGATAAGTTACCTGAACTTCTTGACGTAGTCTGCAACCTGCTCCGGTGAGGTCATGTAGTCCACATGATCCACAATTTTTCTACAGAAACCAAGAAAAAGGATGATTCACGTTGTGTGACACCTTTAAGCTCCCTCTATTGTTACAAGACTTGTTTGTCTGAAGATCTGGGGCCTCATTTATAAAGGGATATACGCTCAAAAAATGGCGTACGCCAGTTTCTACGCAATGTTTGCGATTTATAAAATACTAACTTGACGGGAAAACGTGCGGTCCTCCACGCAAACTCTAACCCATGCGTACGCACTAAGCACACAAACGGGAGAGACGAGAAACTGTGACACCGTTGGCAGAAGGAAGAATGGAGAGAAATATGTGGAAATAATACCATAAATAAAATGTTACCTCTCATTTATCAAATATGAAGAATTCATTTTCAAACATTGATTAAAGCCAATCTTTAAATGATTAAACAAACGCCTGTTTGAGACTCCTCAGTGCACACAAAAACATAACTTGGAGAAATAAATAAATACGGATATGCTATTTAAAACCACCTCGAATATGTTGTGTTAATGTTATGAAATGTTTTCTCATAAATGATGCGGTAAGCAGGAGGACAGAATTACGTCTAAACTGACGCCGTTTTGCATTTCTATAGGTTGTAGATACGAGCATGGTTTTATATACTATCACGTTTAATCGTGTTTTATGCCGTTTGCCAAGACTTGATAAGTTGCTCGTAAAACACAGGAGGTATGGAAACTAAGAACACCATATGTGGTAAATTGTACAGCTAATATAACACAACACATTGTATTTGCTTTAACTGGTGGATTATGGATATATAGTTGCTGATCGACAGCTGGAACACAAACCACCAAATACAACACAATAATTCAGATCCAGTCGTCATGACTCCACTCCGGAGGGATTCCCCGATCATTTCTTACAGTTTCTCATCAAGGGGGTGTCTCCTGTCCCCGGGACAAACACACTGCCTGAGGAAGGTTATGTGTATTTTTTTTTGTCATTAACTTTTTTCGGACCACTTATTTATTTCTTTTGGTGACGATCCGACCTCCATGCTGCTACTCTGGTTCAAACTGCATCCACCAAACAATATGATTTATCTCCACCTCCCCACAATAACCCAAATCTGACACGGTGTGAGATGTCTTTTTTAGCTGTTCTGTCCTCATTTCCTGCGATCTTCTTCATGCAGTCAGTCAAAATGAATGAATGAATGGGCGTTTCTTTGACTATGTATAGGCAAATATGGGCGTTACGAGTCGATTGTGATTTATAAAAGGGAAACAGGCGTAGGGAGTGCCGTACGCACTTCCCTCGCCGGTACGCAATGTTTTGTGAATCGGAAAATGGCGGAAAATGTATGTACCTATTTTTGTGCTTTGTACTACGTAAGCAACCTTCCTACGTCAATCCTACGCAAGGCGTTATAAATGAGGCCCCTGGACATGTGTGTACTTGTGTTCAGTTTAGGTGTGTGCAAACATCCTGTGATCTGTGAACTCAAATCCTATGATGCGGTTTGCTCAGGTGGAACTGGTTCTGCGATAAACATGCTGACTGTGCATCTTTGGTCATGAGATGTTTGTGTGAAATACTGCACTTAGTAAACAGTCAGGTTTAAATGTATAAAAAAAACATTACTCTCAGTGTCATTTTAATTTATAGACATGTTTCGGTGGGAACAAAATATTGTATATATAAATTCAAAATGTTTAACTAGTGTGCGGTTTATGTGCCTATATTTTTGTGAACTTTTTTTAGTCTGCATTGTGTATTCTGTGCCTCTGACCTGTTGATGGTGTCTCCATACGTGGCTCTGATGAGCTGCTGCAGCAGGTTCTTTATGTTCCTGCGCAGCCACTGGTTTTTCTCCTTAAGGTCAAACACCTCGTCCATCAGTAGCAGCATTACTCTCAGCGGTATGTTATCATCCACCTGTATATTTCAACATATGAATGGGAATCCAAATAAATAAAATCACAAGAAAGTGAAAGAAATAAACCAAACATGAAGAAGACATGGCCATTGTCTAACTCACATTGTCATCGAGCTGAGCAGAGACTCGACAGTGTTCGGGGTCGATGTCAGTCTTAGGGAGGAGTGGAGGCACCTGGGGAAAAAAAAGATTGTTAGATAAATTAATATTAAAAAAAGGACTGGATTTGTGACGACTTGTACCCTATGACGCTTTCAATCCCTTAAAGGGGACCTATCATGCAAAATGCACTTTTGTATGTCTTTCATACATGAATATGTGTCCCCGGTGTTCCAGGGAACTCACCAAGTGTCAGAAAACACAACCCTCTCTATTTTCCTCCATACCCAAATCTCTAAAAAAGGGGCTGCAACGGATCTGATAAAAACTGATCCAGATTTGAACACTGTCCTGATGTCAGGACGGTGGCACTACGGCTATTGGGCCAACTCCACCAATCAGGAGGAGACAGCCACGGCCATTGCCGTTCGAAAGCGCTGGAGACGCTGTAGTACATATGCCAGGCCTGTAGATGGTGCTGTTCTCACATAATCTGCCCTTGCAAAAACAGAGCTAAAAAATGTCAAATTGAGTGAAATGAGGCATGGCTAAAATGCATGATCTGTTTGGTATTTTGAAAAAAAAAAAGTATAAATATGCCTTATATAGGTATTGTCCTATACTATATTATTCAAATATAGCATGATAGGTCCACTTTAAGCAATGCTGCCAACCTTTTTAAACGGATAAATCAATAAAGATAGAACTGATATTTTACTGTTTTGATTAAGTAAGAGAACTTGCTCTACAGTTTGTGATGGTGTTACCTTGAGTATGGACTGTTTAATGTCCTGCCCGAGTCTCTCTGACATGCGGCCCATGTTATCAGTGACCTTATTCATGCCCTCCGCCAGACTGTCCGGCAGAGACTTCACTGCGTTGGACACGTTTCTTATGGAGCTCCTCAGAGGATTTACAAATGTGTCCACCTGGAAAGCGAATACAAAAAAAAGGAGAAGATGTACTTTAGAACAAACACTCACATACTGTATGTGTTGAAAATGAAATGAGTATGCAACAAAACATCTGAACTACATACTTTATACATGTGCTGTTATTTGATTGTAAATAAATGACACTAAAACACATATTCTTTGTTTGATAAAAATGTAGTGACCTTGCGTGCAAACTCTCCCTTGCCCTTGCTGTAGGCTTTGTTCTCGAGGAAGTCATAGACATAAGCAATCAGAGTTGGACAGGCCTTCACCATCTCTGGGTTCATCAGCAACTGGAACACACACACACACACATAAAAGTTATTGATGTACACACTTACAAAAATAAAAGGTGTTCAATACAGTGTAGCCATATAAGACTGTTACCTGCAGGTAAGAATTGAGGTCTTTTTTTCTCTTCTCCAAGAAGTCTCTGTCCATGTTGTTGAAGGTCTTCTTCCCTGGCAGCTTGAGAATCGACGCCAGGTTCTCAAACTAAAACAGAATATATGAAACTCTTAGGAGACAGTCAAGTTCATGAGATTCTGCTCCATGTTAACTTCCTTTGGGATATGAGAAAGAAAACCCTTGATAGACACACACCTGTTCAGTGACCCTCATGTGGAAGTCGTGGAAGTCGGAGTAGCGGCGATAGGTCTTCCAGCAGTCCTCACTGCCGTCATGGCTGCGTCTGAACACCGTGATGGCGTACAGCGCGTAGGTCTTACCGTGGTCGTTGCACACCCCTGCAGCACCCCAGAAGCCGGGGAGACAAGCGTCAGCTACCCAGCCCGGCAATACATCCACAATGGCAATGGAAGATGAGGGGGTAGATGGAAGAAAAACAGGAAGAAGAGGAAAGGAAAGTGTGTGCAGGTGTAAAGTGTGCAGAGGGAGGAAGAGAGAGCAAAGGAAAGAATGCAAAGCAGACGGTTTGGATGAAATGGAGGAAAATGTGGCAGAAATAACAGGAAAGGTAAGGGAGGAAGGAAAAAGGAAAAACAGAAAAAAAGTGATAAAATGGATAAAGAGAGATAAAGAAAACTAGAACAGTATGAATCGAAAAAGCAGACATGATGAAAAGGGCTAGGAAGTGAAAAGTTGAAAGAAAAGAACATGCAGGGAGGGGCTAACATAGGGGGGCATACAGATATCTGATGTACACAACAATTTAACACCTTTCCAATATCCATATCACACATCAAGTGGAAGTTATACAAGACATGCATACATTGCAAGCCCAGTGTAAACCCTTTAACTTTATTCACAACTCTTCAAATCAAAATGAACAATTGTGACCTTCAAGTAAAACCGTGATTTTAAGAAAACACATAGCCTTATGCTTTTGGACTTTTTGGTAAAAATGTGTTCATCTGACTCCAAGTGAGTGAGTGAGAGTGTGAGTGTGAGTGTGAGTGTGAGTGTGTGTGTGTGTGTGTGTGTGTACCTGTGTCAGAGATGAAGGCATGTAGGTGCAAAGTATCATCATGGCAGGAGTTGGACAAATCGTCCAAAGACTGAAATCACAAGAAACATGGAATCATTTGACTGCACAGTTTGCTATCAATAACCCAATACAATGCTTCTTTAATGTGGAGGACGTGTTTCCACCATAGATCAAACTTATCTAAGATTTGACCTATTGGTTTGCAGACTTCAGTTTTAAAGCCTCCAGTTTGGCGTTTTGGAAGTTGCCATCCAGAAATGACACAAGATAGTGAAGCAAAGTACAACCAATCAATGAATAAGACATTTTTAGATGACCAAAATGTTACATTGAATGTTCAGGAACTGAAAACACACTGTAAAAAGTTTTAAAATTGTACAATGAAAACATGGAGAGCACCCAGACTGGACAACACCGTGATATCGACCTATAAATCACAAGATAGTCACGCTTTGAGTAAACCCTGCTGGATATTAGAGTGGATGTTAAAGGCACTATCGCATTGGTTTCAGTTGTCAGACCCAGAGCTAGCTGCTTGATCTCAACATCAGAATAATTCAGAGTCGTAGAACAGGGTATGAAGAAGTCTTACTAGGTTTATGCTTCCTGTGGGAGAGCCATTGAAGGATTCTCCATCCCCGTCATCAGACCCCCGGTAGCTCGGCTCTTTCAACATGTCCAGCTCGGCTAGCATGCGGACGTAGAGCGGACTCTGCTTGAAGGAGGGGTAGTAGCGCTCATCTCGTAGCATCATGTCATACACCTGGAGGTGAAAAACAGGGGCAGAAATACAAGTCATTTTTTTCTGACATGGAAAGCTATGAAATAAGAAAACTTCTCTCTGTAGAAAATATTTAGTACACTTTTCTGAATTTCATCAAATATCTCTGGTGTGGGGTCGTCTTTCTGGAGCTTCTCCCCTAGTTTGATAACGGACGCTTCATCCACCTGCACCCGGGGCGACGCCTTTAGGAACAAAAAAAGTAAAGATACATTTGAAAAGAGTCTCATTAAAATGACTTAACAGGAAACACTGACATCCTAACACGCCTCCCACCTTGTCCGAGAGGTATTGTTCATAGACGCCCAGTGCAGCGGCCTTCAGCAGCCCCTTAGTGTTGCTGGGCTGCTTCTTGCCATCTTTCTGCCAGTTCTGCATGGCCTCCAGCTGCTGCTGCGCCGTCACCCTGTAGCCCTCCACAGTGAGCCAGAAGAACAGCTCTGCCTGGGCCCCCGCCGCCTGCATGTAGTCTGGAACACACACACACACACGAGAGCTGGTCCAAATGGTGTCTACAGCACTTTGGTTACACATTCATGCATAGTTAGTGGGCAAGGGCCTTTCACAAATAGTATTTCTGTCTGCTTGCGGTGTCTGGTGATCTTGTAACTAAAGATCAATCGACTGTCACACTCTGAGGCAACGCTTTGGATATAGGTCAGAATATAAAGGTTGTGATACGCTGCCTATTTATACACCCAAATCTTCCTTTTATTGACTTTGGTTACAGCTTTTGAGTCTGTTTGTTTATTTAAATACAACGTTTTTCATATTTAACATTTCTAATGACAGAAACAGCCGTAACGTTTAAGCTCTTGCTCAAACTAGATCTGACACAACTTGGCTTGACTCCTAGTTTGCTCACACAAATACACTCACATGCACACACAAACACACACACGTGCACTCTATCGTGATCTGATCCGTAAAGTAGTGTGACCTTTTCTTTTAAGTCTCTGACAGGTCATGTGGGCTGAAGAAAGGAGTGTGGCAATGACACAGGTTGGGGTTATATATTCTAGAGGACTGGAATACATTATGGATTATAAAGATGATTAACAGAAATGTTCAGGATTAAGGTCTGGGGATGACTACAGTGACATTTGGCATCAGTGGTTAATGTGATGATGCATTTCCAGACTTACATTACATGTTACTTGTTAGACGCTTTTATCCAAAGTGACTTACATACATTCAGTACTGTGGACAATCCCCACAGGAGCAATGTGGGGTGAAGTGTCTTGCCCAGGGACACAATGACATGCTGACTGCAGTGGGACTCAAACTTGCTACCCCCTGAGTCGAAGTTCAGCGCACTATCCACTGAGCCACAGCCTCCCACTTACCCATGAAGAACTGCAGGGCTATGTTGTGGATGAGGATGTGATCCAGAGGGATAACACACAGTTTGCCAAAGTTGGCTGCCAGCTTCAGGGCATCCACCTCCTACACAGAAAATGATAAAAAGTTAAGTGTGATACAAAAAGCAGAAATGATTCAACTATATTCTCAGTCTAGCCGACTCCAACAGACTTTGAGCGATTCAGGTGGGACTCGCAGACAACGTTTTACCAGCACACTAACAATAAGTGATGTATGTTTTTACTGGATTCCTCCAGTGTAAGCACTATATGCTGCAGTTTCTCACCTTGCCAGAGTGTAGTCTCTGGATCCGCGTCTCACACACCTTCTTCACAAACAGAAGACTGTTGATCTGGTTCTTGATCACATTGATGTCTGAAGGACGGAGAAACAAACAGGGAGGAGAAAGAGCAATAGTTAAAATAAATAAGTGAAAACAAGGCATGTCTCCTAAAATGAACATCCAATATGTCAAGGTTCAAGGTTCAAGGTTCTTTATTGTCAAACTGACATAGCTACAGAGTAATTATGTTGTTGAAAATCTTATGTCACAGGCTTCTCCAACAATGCAACATAATAACATAATAACAATACAGATAGCAAGAGCAATACAAAAAGAAAAATAGTTATAAAATAAAGTGAGCATGTGGAATAGTGCAGTACGAGTCTATATACAAGTTATTGGAATGATATATATTAGATAGTAGATATATATTACTAAGTAGCAGATGAATGTTTTGAAGTTGTTTCAACAGTTCAATTGTTTAACAGTCTCACTGCCCGCGGGAAGCAACTGTTTCCGAATCTTTTTGTTTTTGCCAGGATGCTGCGGTAACGTCTGCCAGACGGCAACAGAAAGAACAGTTTGTGGCTGGGGTGATGTTGCCCAAAATCTACATTTTATTCCTTTAATTGCATATAATATTATCTGTCAAACTAAACCAATTCAGTGCATTTAAGGGCCAAATCAAACGCTGGATTTTAAAGAAAATATTTAGCTGAAATGAAAAAAAGAAAGAAATCAATGATTTTGAGCTAGTCCCAAAACATTTTTCAGCCCTAAAGCAACACATTTATTAAGCCATGCTTTATGTTTGTGCTTTGTGTCTTTTTACACACATAGCAAATTACTTTCATGTACTTGTGTGTCTGTATATCAGCAGAAAAACACAGTGCCTACCATCTCCGGCGGTGTCCAGGGAGCGGAGGTACTGCAGCTCCTCCAGCACCTTGTCCTTCACCGCCTCCAGCTCAGAGGGCTTGTCTGTCAGCTTCAGGATGTTCATGAAGGCTTCATAATTACAGCTAGAGTCCCGTATCTGTTCAAAATCACATCCATTCACATAACCATTAAATAAGTCTGTTTTCAAATTTGCTTTCTGGATTTTTTTCTTGGATATTTTTGTGTAGTGTTTACACAGAAAGTGAAAGTTCAAATAACAGCTGAGCGCCAACTCTCACCATCCAGATGACAAACTGATTGATGTAGTCTGGGTCGCTAAGCTGGTTGATCAGAGGAAGTAGAACACCACGGGCCAGCACCTCCTAAAAACAAACATCACAGAGTATTTTCAGGTTCACTCTTTTACATTTACACTACAAACGTGCCGTGACAGCATAGTATATTCAGCAGCCTGTTGTTGGAAAATAATACTCATAGCTGGCTCCAGGCCAAAGTGGCAGCATTTGGCCTGCAGCTCGATCATGATTCGTTAACAATCCAGGTTTTGTGACATATTGTGTGACTGAATATGTGATTTTGCGCCTCATATTTGATTCTCGGATCATTGAAGTCATGTGTAATTCGATCCTGTGACAGACTGTGTAAGTGAGAGTGAGAATTAGTGTTTGTTTGTGTGAGCTCACCCTAAGGAAGTATCTCATGTTCTTGTTGTGGAAATCTCCAGGAGGTAGTAACAGATACAGAAGCAACTCACACAAGTCCCTAAGAAAACCTGACACAAACACACACACACACAACAGAGTATGTTCAGTTTTTAAGAGTTACAACATCAAACCGTACATATATATGAAGAATTTGTCATGATAGTGTGAACTTTAAGGGTAGACACGCTACAAAAGTGTGCAAACCTTCTTCATCTTTGTGTGAAGTGCACACCACGTCTCGACAAATCTTCCTTTCCATCTCCACCTCGGCCTCAAAGAAGGAGTCCACCAGCTCCTCCGTTATGTCCCCTGTTCACACATCACTCTTTGTCATTTTCATTATCCAACATGTGAATTATCCTCATCGGATTTAATCAAAACCTTATGGGAGAATTATTCTGCAGCACAATTATAATCAAATCGTATTGTGCCGAATCTCCACACTCAGACTGTTAATCATTGTTAAAAACAAGCTGAACAAACGGCCTAAATGTACACAAAGAAAGTGTGTGAGTGTGTGTGTGTGCTTACTTTGCTTGTCCTCTCTTTCTGCGAGGCGGTCCTGGGCTTTTCTGAAGACACGTAAATGGGTGGCAAAGTCATCCACCAGGCGAGTAGTGAAGTAAGGCTGCCAGTCCACCTCTTTGGACCTTGGCACATAAATGATACATTTGATTTATCAAGAGCTTTTACAGGTGCTCAAAGACGCTTTACAAAGATTTTAAAACACAACAACATGTAACCCTAGGACACCATATTCATCTCATAAATACACAGGGATAATGTAGAACAAACTACAAAATATTTGTTTTGTATAAAACATTCGATATCAGGAAACTGTATCCATTTCTTACCGTGTAGAGAACTGGACGAGGGCATTCTGCAGCGTCTGTCTGATCTCCAATAGGAAGGACTCATCCTCGCTCAGAGTGTAGTACCAGTACTGGATATAATCTCTCAGAGCAAACTGGATCACCTTATAAAAAAAGAGAAGCAAATACATGTATCAAAGACAACCCAGTGACCTGGTGCAAGGGGCTGGACAGTAAGCAAAGGGAGTTAGCAGGGGTTAATAATAAGGGGTTCCTTTAGCTACAGGCAAATTAGACTTATTAAGATGTTTTAATAACATAAAATAAAACTATATTAGTGTTTTTAGTTATTTCATCCTAATTGTAAATGGTAGAGGCATTCTGCACATTATCTAAGACTTCTGAAACACTCATTTAAGACATCCTTAATGAAATGGTGCACAAGATTTGAGTGTGAGATGGGTAAAGTAAAAACATTCATGGTCAGTGCATAACTAAAACCCAGAGGACAGATTACTGGGATATTAGCTCACAGGAAACTTGGGTAAATCAACTATTTAGTTGTACTGTACTGGATACATTAGAGCTAGAGCTGAGTAGTTACAATCAAGTAAACACATGAACTGTCAGTTAAGGCTGCTACTATATGAGCTGACTGTGTTGATAAAGTAATGAGAAAAGAGACAAAAGATTGTGCCATAAATATCTTTCAGAGAGCATGGCGCAGGTTTAAATGATGTCACGTTCAGCAGTGCTGAAGATTTCAAGGTTCACATGTTGCAGAAATGATTAGTGTGCATTCCCAGGGAGGAAGGGAGAACAGAAGCAGCACAGTGGAGCAGTCAGTGTCATCTGACCATCACAAACTGCTGTGTCTGCACTTAACTCTGCCGGCCACGCTGCTTTACGCAGGACTGCATGCTACAAGCTGCTTTTCTACTGGAAGTGCTGTAACCACAGGACAGGGTGTAAAGACATACTGTGACCAACGGACAAAAGCCACTGAGCTCATCTTCCCTTTCTGCAGCACTGATGCTCAGCCTTACCGTCATTCAGAGGATTTATTTAGAATTATTTTAGGCTCAAAGATTCAATTAACAACATACTAGAGGGAAAATACGGTCAACAGTGTTTTACTTTAGCCACATGAGGAGGGAGGTTGTATGACCCTTGATAAAATGTGTTCTGCTACAAGAAGACAACAAAAATCAATATAAATACAAATGTAAGTCCTTTTGATGGTGAAGATTTCAGAGGTAAAATGAACAAACGTAAAACAATCTATCTTGGAAGAACCAGTAATAAGTGACCAATCTCTCAACCTCATAAAAATATAAAAGCGGAACTTAAAATAGTAAAATATTAAGAGAACATGTCCTAGAAAAACATGTTGTCAGTACCCTTTATAGTGTAATAAAGCTATATATTTTCTTAGTAGCTTTGTTGGCAAATGCTTCTTTGTTTTAGCTTGACAAAAGGCAGGTACAACCAGCAGACAGATATCCTGCTCAAGACAACTCTAATGACACGAAACACAAGTAACCAACTTCCTGTGCACGGGAGACACTGAGGCTTCAGGGCTAAGGGTATGCATTGTTTGATAGGCATGAGCTGGACCAGCTGATGGGTCAGATGGTGAATAAAGGGGGCCAGTGTCCAAAAGTCTGGAGTGTTTGTCGTCCTGCTATCTTCTGTTGGCTTTTCTCATTATTTGTTGTCACATTAACATTGGTGTAATTATTTGTATGGCCAATGTGTTTCAACAAAACTGAAAATAATTCTTTAAGGACTTACTGCAGGACTTTTGTAGTGGACTGTTTTAGTTTGAGATAGGGGTCATTGTCAAGTGGCGATTAAATGTATGTGAATACATGAGTGTTGGTTGAGCTGTTGAAACTATACAAAGGGCACTTCATATTTAAAAATGACACACAAACACACCTGTTGTAGTGGTTCATCTATAAAACTGGAGCCAGTCAGTCTCCTGTCTATTTTTATAGGCTTCATCTCCAACTTCATCTCATCCAATGTCTGAAGGAAACAAACAAAGAGACACAATCAATAAAAAAGCTTCTTTCATGAACTTCATGGTGACTGGCAAACAGACTTCATCAACAAAGGAACTTGATTTACATATAATCAATATATGTAGGCAAAGCCCAAATGTGTGTGTGCTTAAGCGTGCCCTTACCTTTAGTATACCAATTTGTGTGGGGGCCAAGTAGGAGTGCTCGCACTTTTCCAGGTGTTTCTCCGAGTTGATCTTTCCATAGAGCAGAGTGACCGCAAAGCCCCTGGAAACAGAAGTGAGAATTAGAGAAAAGAGAAAAGAGAAAAACTGATCTATGGTGGTTAAAGAGAGAGAGAGAGAGCGTGCTTATGAAAAGACATGATGGACGGTTTAGTGGTTTCCTGCTTACCCTACAATGAAGCAGAAGATATAAAAGGCCAGGTAGAATATGGCAAAGGGTCCAAAGGTGACGAGGAACAGCACGACTCCAAGACCCCCCCATCCCCAGATGGACACACTGGCCTGAAAGACACACAGAAGGAAATACACAAGCTGAATACTCCATGTACTTTATATTATACTTACAACTGTCTTGAGAAAACAGACTCCCTCGGTAAAGCCTGATCAAGCCTTTCACATCTTCAAATGATAACAGACTGAATGACAAATCTTTTAATATGAAGACTAAGACTACACCCTAAATATAGTTTTGTTTTTGTACAATGTGTGCAACTAACAGTACTATATTTTCATTATATTTGTATTTATAAGTCTTCTTGTTTTTTTAAGATTCTCCACAAAAATCCATCATCAATTCCCAACGTAAGATAGTTTGGACTGGATTCTCTAGTGGTCCATTGTGAAGGAAAAGCAGCAGTGAATCAGCAGCTTTCCCATACAGACTAAATCAGATGCACTTTATTGCACTGTAAATGACGTCATCCTCAGAGAAAAACACTTTTCTATACCTCAGATGTTGGCACAGGAAACGATTATTTAAAAAGATACACACGTTGGTGTATCGTAAGTGAGTGTCAGGCATAGGCTGTGTGTGTCTGTGTACTGTGTACATAGTAGTGTGTCACATCCTATGGTTTTCCTGTTATTGTCAGTTCAGGAAACCAAGCTCTCTTTTCCAGCTAGCAACTCTGTGTCCAAGTTACTCTGGTATCTGTCCCATAATGTGTCTATGCTAAAGATACACCATTGCAATTTAAAAAACACCAGATTCTACATTTAATTCCCACATTTTAAAGTCCGTATGGGCCAGAAAAATCCAGTATGAGTCAGGCTACACAGGGGGGGGGGGGGGGGGGGGGGGGGGGGGGGGGGGGGGTGGTGTGTGTGTGTGTATGGTGGGGGTTGTTATGTGAAGGATAAGCCTGTCATAGAGCTGCATCAAGTGCAAGCAGACAAATGAAACCAGGCCATGCTAACGTTAGCAACTTAGCAAAGTACTATAACCAACTGTGTCATGAGTTCATTTCATTTCATTTCAAACCTTTATTTATCCAGGTGCATCCCATTGAGATCATTGATCTCTTTTTCAAGGGAGACCTGCTAGTTCATGTAAAAAATACAGTTATCTACACAATAGTGGTTCCATGTGAAAAGCTCTGACATGGTCACACACTGTATGAAGCTCACACTCTGACCATGGGGTCATCAGATAGACTCGCTGACAGACACCCTGATGATCAGCCGTGATGATCTTCGGCTGCCCTACATTCACACTGGAGTTCCTTAGATAAGCGGCTCCACTGATGGAGCCCGAGAGGGACAGTCAGAGCGTCCTCAGGACACTGAGACATTGTTCTCTGAGCCACAGCCAGCGAGGGACAATCAGATGACACACATGCTGCCAACTGGGCCAGCTAGTTTATGATATATAGCGTGATACACACAGGTAGGCTCCTGACAATCAACGCACTTACAAATGACTTTAGTTAACCAGGCTAAGGCAAATTAAATTGTATTATCAGACTTATTACAAATACTTAAGAGTAATGTTTCATAGCCCAAATGCTGAGAGTATGGCAATGGGTTGGCTGAACATGGTACAGGTATGACATTTCTTCATATGAGGGTGCATCATGTTTAAACGATCAGCCATAAAAGTATTTCACCTATAAAGGAGGCCTAATGGATTTCCAACGTCTCAAAAAGAAAAATCATATTTAATACAAAAATAACTTTACAAAAAGCCCATTCACAACGAAATACCACTTGCTAAGTCTATTTAATTCATACAGTATATAGATTTATAACCCCTGTCACTACTAGTTGCTTCACTCTAACATTTGTAGTTGTTGTTGTTGTTGTGCTATCTTTGCTGTCACTGGGTGTTTCTCAATGTCGAGTAAAGCTGCTCCAGAGCCACTATTTCAAGCATACTACGTCATCGAGTGCCACCGAAGGACTGTTCCAATGTCCAGCATACTTGGAATTCTACCGAGCCCGGCGTACTTTGTAGCGAGAAATTTCGAGGCTGCACATGTGTAGACTCCGCGGTCTTAAAATCCCCACAATGCTTTGCGCACGGACCAATTTCCCCAAATCTGTGGCGGAAAATGTAAGGCGGGGCCTCTCATATGACGCACACCTGCACACTTGCTCACCTGTTCCACTCTTCGTTTTCCGAAATGCCAGGAAGTATTCTTTCCTCGCTTCTGAAGCAAGTGACTCGGAAGACATGTGCTACCAAGCAAGCGTACTCGACATTGAGAAACACCCAGGCCGTTTCTCAATGTCGAGTATACCTGCTGCAGAGCCACTATTTCAAGTATACTACGTCATCGAGTGGCGCCGAATGCTGGGCATTTAACATGCATTTAAACAGTCCTTCGGTGCCACTCGATGACGTAGTATACTTGAAATAGTGGCTCTGCAGCAGGTATACTCGACATTGAGAAACGGCCCCAGTGTGTACAATTCTATTCAAAATGGCCACTATTGTTGGCGGTGCTTCAGGTTGTTTCTAGAGCTTTATTCTGTAGGTTACACTGACAGAGGATCTCAGTCTCATCAGGCTTTATAGAGCTGGTACCATTTATTTAAAAACTGAATTGACTGGCTCCAGGTCAGATCTTGCAGATTAGCTTTTGACAACCCTGGTCAACACTCCAGCTGATTACACACTGGATATATTACAACATGATGCTGATGGCTGTCAGTGATAAACCTTTGACCCTGACATATTACTCAGTGCAAACCAAAGGAATAATATACAGGCTGTCAGCGTGTGGGCTGAGACAAGACAGCACAACTGGTTTTACACATGCCTGTCAATATTATAAGTAGAACAACAGTCTCTCTGAACATGCCTTAGTTGAAATATATGATGCACAGCAGACAGTCATACTCACTCATAAACCTGGTTATGGCGTAAATCAGGTTAGGGCAGGAAATGTTTGATCATTTATCTCCATGTGCTGCAATTACTCTCAAATCCTATATTACATTTTACTGGTCATTAATCAGTTATGTTCCTTACCGTCTGCCCTATCCTCGACTCAGGCTGACATATTTTAATTGTTTTAGTTATGTAAGACATTTCAAAGTCTTTCTTCTTTGTCGAACAACCTGGACTGACGGCATAGTAAGGGAGGTGCACTTGCACTCTAACAACCATGTTAAAAGGGGACCTATCATGCAAAATGCACTTTTGTACGTCTTTTATACATGAATATGTGTCCCCGGTGTTCCAGGGAACTCACCAAGTGTCAGAAAACACAACCCTCTCTATTTTCCTCCATACCCAAATCTCTAAAAAAGGGGCTGCAACGGATCTGATAAAAACTGATCCAGATTTGAACACTGTCCTGACGTCAGGACAGTGGCACTACGGCTATTGGGCCAACTCCACCAATCAGGAGGAGACAGCCACGGCCATTGCCGTTCGAAAGCGCTGGAGACGCTGTAGTACATATGCCAGGCCTGTAGATGGTGCTGTTCTCACAGAATCAGCCCTTGCAAAAACAGAGCTAAAAAAGTGCAAATTGAGCGAAATGAGGCATGGCTAAAATGCATGATCTGTTTGGTATTTTGAAAAAGAAAAAGTATAAATATGCCTTATATAGGTATGGTCCTACACTATATTATTCAAATATAGCATGATAGGTCCACTTTAATATAAAGTGACAAAGATATGACAAAGTTCAACTCTTAGAGCGAAGATTAAGATGTGTTAAAGATTCTTACAATCCCATACCCATATAAAGAGAACTGGGATTCTTCTGTACATGCTATTAAAGAAGCAAGGTTAAAACAAAAACCTGATTTAAACTGAGTGCATTGAAGGCATGTAAACTCGCTGGTGTATGGGCTGCAGAATGTGTCCAAACTGGCTCGACTACCCCCTCTTTCACAAGTCATAACTGGCTGGGACAAAGTCACTAATAGCAAGGTAAGGACTCTGGGAACAGAACAGGGCTGCCCAAAGAAGAGGCCTATTGTTACAGTTTAGCTAGGAGTGGTAGAAGTTCAAAGAAACACCTACTCTCATCTCAGTTCATACCCTGAAACAAATCTTAAATGAACTTCAGTGTCCTTAAACACCTCCAAGTATAACTCAGCCACAATGTTGTCACAATTGCCAAGAATAACTAAGTAAAGCCTTTCATCTAAACCACAATGAACAGCTTGACCTGCAATAACACATCCACTCTGTTTAACTTTCACCCACACAGAATTCACAGAGAAGGAAGTTGCTCCTTTGTTGGTTCAGAGGCTTCCAGCAGCCCACTGCAGTCATCACTGACATGTTTATTACCTAAAGGCCTCGCTAACAAGTGACTGTATTCTACACAAAGAAAAAACTCTCAAAATGGTGGTTAGACCGGAAACAGCAACTACTAATTTCAGTGGAAAGGGGGTATTTAACCTCTCTAGAGAATAACATAAACATTGGTAAGAAAGACCCAACAGCATACTGCCAGAAACATCATTGACAGAATGCGTTATTTAACAAAAATATTTGAATTCCTTTAAGGCTGATTCAGTGGATGTCGGCCGGATAAAAAAAACACAACCAAAAAGGTTGGAGAAGCTTCAATGCTTCTACGAGGTTACATACGAGCAGTCCTGTATCAGTTCAAGTTTGTACAAACCTCTTTTGTTTAAACAGTATTATCAGGAAAAGTCTTATTTTCCTTTTTGTTCAATGTCACAGAAATGTGTTTCTCGTATATCCCACAATGAAGCCATTCCCTGATAAACTGTTTGACGTCAATGGTGTGTGCGAGCAGCAGTGAATGTGGAGGCTATCAGTGTGGCTGGTGACGCTGGGCTTTGTAGGAGAGAGACGATAACCGACACTCTTGAGTCATTACAGCTTACACAGGGTTTATAACATGAACCATCTGCTCCAGTGATTAACACCCAAGCCCATCGGGAATGCACACATCTAAACATCCAGGCAATTCCTTACGCAACCCTGCGCTGAATAGACACACGTAAGAGTGAGCAGAACAAACAGGGACACATGCAGATGGAAACAAATGTGGTTGTGTCTTTTCTGTGGT